ATTGTTAAAAACATGAGATTTTAATAATTTTAAAAAGAAAGGCTTAGAAAACTTGTTCGGCAAGAAAACTTGTTTGAATTAATTGGGTTTTAGTTGCACCTCTAGAAAGAAAAGTAGCTTTAAAGGAATCATACGAAATATGTTATCGCTTTATTAGCTCTAATTCTAAGAGATTTATTAATTTATTCTGAGAAAATAAACTAGTTATATACCAGATAATATTTTATATATAAGCTAAGAGTTTGTATAGTAAAACTTATAGTTTTTAAAACTTGGTTTTCTAGGGTTTAGCGAGGGCATGGACTTCGATTCCCAACTTGACTTTTGAGCTTCACTTTTGGTGAGTGTTCGTGCTTGTTCTATGACTAAAGTGTTAAAGTGCTTTCTTGACTTGTTATGTGATAATTGGAAAGTGATTTTCCTGAACCATCGAAGTGGCAGTGTGTACTTTATCGCACTAGCCTTTCGAGTGGTGACTTGCTTGAAATGTTTTCTCGAATATCTTATAATTGTTGACTGGAGCGTGGACTCGTCAACTAATCTACTAGGCAGGGGAATGTACCACTGTGATGCCCCGGAAAAAAAAAATGAGTTTGAGAACCCGAAAATTTTCTAAATTTCTAGGGTTTATTTTATTTAATCGCCCGCCTTTTCTACAGTTTCTTTATTAGAAAAATTTTCCAGATAAAGTTTATGAGCAAAGATAGTTTTAAAATGATTTTTCTAGTATCGGTTAGTTTTTGAGAAATTAAAAGCGTATTTTGGACGTGGGACCCACTAGTGCGGTAAATGCAATATATTTTTGATAACATGTTGGGATTTTGTATTAAGTGAGATTATTTTACAAGGTGTTAAGATATTTGTATTGGAGAGACAAAAAGATAAGTTTTAAACCTAAGGGTGACAAGTGTCACCTTCCTATTCAACCTTGACTTTGACCATTATTTCTTACCTTTACTAATACTCAATTTTGACCCAAAAAGCACCCAAATTTCTGCAAGCTTGGCCGAACCTCTTGGAGCAAAAATACAAGAAGAAAGCCTTCAACTCCAACTCCATTTCTTGCTCAATCTTGTGAATCAACCGTTAAACTTTCAAATTCCTCCACAAAAGTCACTTGTTTAGGAAGATTGAAGGTAGTGGTGGAGTGATTAGATAAGGCAAAGGACTAAACCATCAACTTTCTTGATATTTCAAGGTTCATGTCTAGCAATCCTTTCTTTGTTCTTGATTATGCTAAATTAGTGACTTGTGATGGCTAAAGAGATGGTTTGATGGATTATATCTTGAGTTGTGGTTGACTTGATGAAGTTTTATAATTTTTGGGGATTTTTCTGTTTTAATATGAACATGGTTGTGTGGTTATATATGATGATTGGAAATGATGTTTAAAGACTCTATGAGATGGAAAAAGTGGTCAATTGCAATCAATTTCTGTTTTGGAAGAAATTTCAGAAAATTAGGTTTTGTGAAGGAACATTCTGTCCGAATTTTTATCTCGTAGTTAGAGGCCGAATTGGCCTTGGCTTAAAACATGAAAGTTGTAGGGAATGACATTTTAGAGGTGTCTAAAAAATTTCAGGTCAATCGGAGTATTGTAGAATGAGAAAAGTCGAAATTACTATTGCTGTTCTGGTTTTACCCTAATGTAAGAATTGCGCCTGTAATTGGTTGTTTTGGCTGGAATTGCTTCCGAATTGGTTATTACGGCCTTGTGATGAAATTTAGCCCTGTTTCTTAGCTTGCAGCTGGTTTTGGAATTTCTGGATTTCGAGTTGTAGAGCCTGAGTTATGATGTTTCCGCTAGAATGCGTTCTGTGAATCTGTTTTTGTGATTCTGGTGTAGTATCTTGCATTTTTGACCTTGTTACACTCGAAACTGGGTTGAGTGACCTTCTACAATATTGTATCCCTATCTCTTATCTTCAAAACGGTGTGTCTTGTACCTTCATCCGACAATCGTAGCGCCTTTGGTACCATTACCGTAAAATGACGTCAAAACTATTTTTCTGGTTTTGAGCTTAACTTTCATTTCCGAACTTTTCCCTAGCTTGACTTGTACTAGTACTACTTGGAGCTTGCTGAATGGCTATTGGATGAACTTGTTGTTGTGTGTGTACCTTTGGGACTGGCTGAAGAAATAATGAAGCCATGATGGCTGGGAAAGTAAGCAAATTTAAGGGAAGTGCTGTCCGAAGTTTTAAAGGGTTTGATTGCTTTGAGTTTGCGATCTAAGACTTCGATTTGAGCAAGGCAATGTTATATGATGGATGATTTCAGAGCCATGGAGGTGAGTGACCCCAAACTATTGTTAAAGCTTCTTATGAAATGTTTCTTGCATTATTTACTCGACTGCATATCATACGTGCTTGCATGTGGGTTCATGACATGTTTTGGCTTGAAATGAGTACTTGGGGAGTCTTGTACTGAACACCAACGTCTCCTCCATTTGTTTATGTTCATGTTCATCTGGAGCTCAAAAAGGGGCTCCCACTTAATGTTAATGTTAATGTTAAATGATCTGTTTGAGCGTTGGGTGTTCAAGTACTATGATTTCACTGGCTCACGAGAGCAATAAACGGACATTTGTTCTTTGAATCATGACATCATCGAAAGGATCGAAATGCAATATTGTGAAAGATATTTGATTACTGATTTTACTGGTTACTCGCTGAGCTTCTAGCTCACCCCAAAACTATTTTATTCCCCTCCACAGGGCTCAAGGCGAAGGAAGGGCTTGTTGTGCTTATTCACGTGGTTGGGTGGCCTATATCTTGTACAGTTTGGATTTGGAATCATTTTATGTATTGTTGGGAATTAGTTTCCGCTGCATTTGTGATATGTAATTATTGGAGAGTTTGATGTAAAATTTGAGATTTATATTATAATTTGGTTGAGGACTGTAGTGAGCGACTGAGTCCCGGCGAGAGTTGGGCAGGCGGTCCGCCGAACCCTTTGGTTCGCCTTAGGAGGAGGTGGGGCTGTCACAACCACACCTTAGGGTGGGAGGGCCTCTTATCCTGACTTGGTAAAAGCGTGTTGTGACGTCGTTGGGTGAATCCCTCGACTAGTTTATAATTGTGACGTCGTTGGGTGAATCCCTCGACTAGTTTACAAAAAGGTATACTCGAGTAATACCAAACTCTCTCGTGAGAAGAACGGACCTGGTGGGAGTATGTTGGTTGGAGCGTGTTAAGGAAAAAATAATGAATCTACATGGATTTTAGATAGTGAGAGTTGACGGAGGGTCAACTGCAGTTAATTTTGATCAAGTACGTGGAAAATGGCTCCTGAGAGCCCCTGTATCCTACTCTGTGCTGTTAAACGCTCTCCTACTTGTTGAATTTAGTTTGAAGTTATTATTTGCTACTTGTATATATGGTTGCATGTTTGGGGCACCACTGAGCTTTAGCTCACCCCACGTTATTTGTTTTCCTGAACAGGTTTTCGCATTCGAGAGACTTGAAGTCTACCTTTAGCTTTTGTAAATGTTGTTTTGAATCGGACTATGTATCTTTTGTTTTGGGTTGCCACTTGAAGCTGGAAAAGTGCAAACCCTAAATTTTGGCTTGTATGAATGTATTTGGATTTTTATGATTTCACTTTGTGGTTTGTAAAGTATAAGTGTAGTTTGTGTTAAACTGGTTGGTGGTATATTTAAGAGTGAATGTTAGATGCCAGTGGCCATGTTATCTCTGAAGTTAACGTGTTTCTAATATTCTGCATGTTTAAAGGATTGGCTTGTTCGGGTGACGAATTTTGTTTTGATTAAAAAATTATACGTGGAAAGGGTTTAGTCGGTTTCCTTGCGTGAGTCCTGGCGAGAGCTAGGCAGGCGACCCACCAACCCTCTGGCTCACCTTAGGGGAAAGTGGGGCCGTCACAGTCTCACTATCTACTAACTTCCTTTTCTTAGTCATTATCTCCTTGAGAAACTTTGCATACGAAGGAATTTACATAATAGCATCAACAAAAGGAATGTTAATATGTAATTGTTTGAAAATGTTGACAAACTTCTCAAATTCTTTGTTATTTCTCGAAGGCTTCAATCTTTGAGAAAATGGCAATGGTGGAGGAATTGGTGTTGTATCTGCAATTTGTGGCTCATTTTCTTTCCCTTTAATTTTCTTACTATTCTCTCCTAACTCACTCAACTAGTTGTTTTCTCTTCTTTCACATTCTCTCTCACTTTCAACTATAGGCGGCTCACCTACTTTCTTACCACTACGGAGGGTTATAGCCTTCACATCCTCCCTTGGGTTCACCTCAGTCTTGCTAGGTAATTCCCCTTGGTTGCGATTGTTAACTGCATTTGCTATTTGCCCGAATTGGACCTCAACATTCCTGTACATATTGGTGAGTTGGTCCATCCTTCCCTCAATTCTCTCAAACTGTTGAGTAGTGGCACTGGCCTACTTTTCAATTTTATCATTTGATACATTTGCTAGCTTCTCAATTGCCAATTCCCAAGCTGGTTTGGATTCCAGAAGTGGTTGCTTCGATTGAAAATCAAGTGGATTAATTGGTCTTTGTTGGTTCCCTTAATCCTTCCATCCAAAATTTGGGTGATTATGCCATCCTAGATTATAGGTATTAGAGTATGGATTATTTTGGAGTGGACGGTTGTAATTGTTGAGATATTGAACCTGTTCGCTGCTAGAACACATAGAATCATCATGATCTCCGTCGCAAGTAATACAAATGCAACAACTACTTCTTGATTAGAACTAAAACCAACATGTCTATTAAACAACTTAACCACATTATCCATCTTTGCACTTAACATATTCAAGGTATCTACTTTAAGCATACCTGCGATTCTCCTTGTATTACCTCGTTCGTTGGCCCATTGGTAATTGTTAGCAGCCATTTCTTCAATCAATTGTTGAGCTTCCTCGGCTATCTTTCGCATCAATGCTCTTCTCGTTGCCGCATCTACATGCATCTTTGTTGGATAGGTGAGACCATTGTAAAATGTTTGGATTACTAGCCAATCTGGTAAACCATGATGAGGACATCTCCGTTGTAATTCTCGATAGCGCTCCTAAGTTTCGTACAATGTCTCTCCTTCCTGTTAAGAGAAACTAGTTATATACATTCCAAGTTTAGCAGTTTTTTCCAGGTGGAAAGAATTTATTAAGAAAGCCTTAACTAATTCAGCCCAAATAGTAAAAGTGTTTGGAGGATGAGATTGTAATCAAACCTTGGCTTTTTCCCTTAGCGAAAATGGAAACAATCGAAGTTTAATTGCATCATCAGTAACACCATTAAACTTAATTGTATCAAAAATTTCAAGAAATATTGACAAATGAGAATTTGGATCTTCGGTAGTGTGACGCGAATATTAGGAGGTTGTTTGTAAAGAAGATACTAAAGTGTATTTCTTTGGGTTTGATTTAAAACCTTATTTGTTTTAAAAGATTAGAAACCCTAATATTGTAATAAAAACCCTAGTTTACTTGTGACTAACCGGTTTTCTTAAATGTCTCATATTTTAATAGAAACCCTAATTTTAATCACTGGAATTGTAAAATCCCTCACGTTTTCTTAAAAATTTCCTTTTATTTGGAACTTATGATTTTATTAAAGCCCTACCACCCAGTCATTCCACACTAAGTGCAAATAAACCTAGAAAGTAGGGTTTCACTCTTCGTTTCCAAGATTGGAGCAAATTAGGCTTTTTTGCGATTTTTCACCGGATGATTTTTTGGTACGGAGCAAGGATCAAATTTGGTGATTAAAAGTGACTTTTAAGAGAGAACTAATATGTGAGTAAGGGCAATGATAAAAAGTTAGTGAATAGGAAGTAAAAACCCTAGTACGTGTGATTTTAAGAAAAACGGTGCGAACTGACGGGTACCGTGCACTACCGATTGAACGCACCATTTGACCATCATTTTTTATATACTTCATCTCTTTAATATTAGAGCCAAACATCAGCTATAAATCTGAGCAAGCTGGCCGAAATTTTTGACCAAAAACAACAAGGAAAAGGAAAAAAATTAAGAACCAATCTTGAAGCAACAAGTGGTAGTCTTCCCTTGGTTGGTTGACTAATGAACTTACCTCATATTTATCCCTAAAACCAACTCCAAAGCTCTTCATTTCTGCACCATCACAGCCGAGAGAGAGAGAGAGAAAAGGGAGAGCAAGAAAAACAAGAAAAACAACTATTTCATCTTGAGTTTGATCAACCAAGTGAGAAAGAAAGGAAACCAAACCAATTAAAGAGTGAGTTGTGAGTTGGGAAGCTAGGGGAACAAAAAATTTCCAAAGGAGGTGGAGAATCACTCTTCCAAGCTTTGTCTTTGAGGTATAAGATCTGATCATGGTTCTTGTTCTTTTAAATTTTGGTTTAAGATGTTATCTAGTCCATGTTTTGGCTTGATTACAAGATATGCAAGTTGTGGTGATGATTTTGGATGATATATGCAAGCTAGGGTTTGATTAATTTCTGCCTAACCTTGTTTTATATTTAGTATATGTTGTATATAAGAGTAGATAAGGGGCTTTGGTAGAATTGGAAGCAAGAAAATGGAAGGATTGACTTGAGATTTCAAAATTTCCAGATTTCTGGAATTTCAGGATTACATTCTGCCCGGTTTTAGTGCTCATAGTTAGAGGCTGAATTAGGCTTGGCCTAAAACATGAATGTTGTATAGAATGGTATTTTATAGGTGTCTACAAAATTTCAGCTCAATCGGAGCAACGTAGCTTGTGAAAAGATGAAAATACCCTCACTGTTCTAGGTTACATTCCAGAGTTCCGTGTGGACAGTTTAGTCTATTTGGTTGTGTTTATTCACTATAATCCATTCAGATTTAGCCATTTTCCAAAACATGAAAGTTTTAGTACACTGTCTTAGGTTTTCAACGCTGCCAAGAACGCCCTAAACGGACCTCGGTAGACTGAGATATGGTCATTTGAATGTAGGACAGTTGATTAGCCAAATAGTTGGAACCAGGTTATATGAATTGGGAATTTGACCAGGTTACACTGGAAATTGGACCAAGTGATCTTCATAAAAATTGTAGGCCTTCATCTTAGCTTCGAAACGGTATAAGTTGTGTCTAAATCCGATAAGTATAGTATCAGTTGCGTCATTTCCGCAAAAACCCGTCAAAACTGTCTTTTGTTAAGTTTCATTTCTGCACTTGTTATTAACTTAATCTTTGTTCTTGTATTGTTTTAAGCCTATGGAATGGCTATTGAACTGACTTTGACATATGAATAACTTTTGGTTGGATTGAGTAAAAGAATGAAGCCTAAATGGCTGGAAAATTAGGTAAACACAAAGGGCATGCTGGCCAATTTTACGCGCAAAGACTATAGAGAGACACTTGCGACTTGGGTTGAGTTGATATGAATAGTACTTGAACCATCTAGAACTTTGGCTATCTTGTTGTCGAGGGGTATATGTTAAAACCTAGCCGGACTTGTACCCTTGAGGAAAAGACATAATAATCAATGTAAACCCGTTTTTCTTGCACTTTTGACTTAAAAGTTATTTCCAAGTATACATGTTACAAAAATGTTCAGTTTGAAAAACGAGCAACCATTTTGTGACTATTCACCCAGTGAATTTCAATTTCTTGACCTTTATTGAACGAAACGTCTAAGTTTCGAACCTTACATGTTTTTCCAAGTTCTTAAGCAACTTTTTATCGCAGATTTGGACTCCAAGCCAGGAGTACCATCTGGACGAGATCATTAAAGCACTATACTTGTTTTGGTGAGTGCTTTCAAATACCGAATTGAACTTGATACTTGAACTTGATACGTGACCAATATGATTACATGTTATATACGTGAATTGTTAAGGCAAGAGTGTACTTTATCGCACTTGCCCTTATGTGATATATACTTGTTTATTGTTGCAATTGACTTGATATACTTGTTTATGATGCGCGCACTTCCTGGAATTCCAGAAACCCTACGGCGAGTTACTTAAGTCGAGCCGACAAGGGCTTGGTCGATTGGGTAACGAACCCTGGGTCTCTTGTTTTGTCGAGTGGAGTGATATCTTCTCGACTAATCGGTATACTCGAGTATTACCACCCGTGTTTCTTGAGGATTTTGGGTCCAGCTGGGGGTTTGAACGGTGGACGGAGAGTCGTTTAAGTGGTGTTCTACTGGAATGGTTACTTACTTGAAAGTTGACGGAGTGTCAACTACTACGTGATCAAGCTTCTGGTAATGCAATGGGAATTTGGCTCATGAGAGCCATCCGTATCCTTATACTTTGGAGTGATTATTGTTTATTGGATTATTGTTTCTTTTGAAAAACTTTTACACTCGCTCATTTTGAGATTTTCACTTGACGTGTTATTGCTCACTTTTATGAACTCTTCATGCTCGTTACTTTGCTATATCGAAAACTTGTACTTATAAATAATGGTCAATTTGCTATTTGGAACCTCACTGGGCTTTTAGCTTATTCCACTCCTTTTGTTTTCATTTCAGGGGTACGAGCGAGGCGTGAGATATGTAAAGTCTAGTATAGACTAGTTGTTTTGACTTTTGACTTGTACTCGCGCTATTAGCCGAATAGAATGTTTTGTATCCGGATTGTATACACTTTGAACCAGTTCGGGTATATTGAGGTTTTGTATCTTGATTGTGCATCAATGTAAATTATAAGCTTGAATTGCGATATTATTTATGGTCTATGGATGTATGTGTGACAGCCCTACCTCTCCCTAGGGCGAACCCTAGGGTATCAGCGGACTGCCTGCCCAACTCTCGCCGGGACTCAATCGATCAAAGAACTAGCAACTCAAAATAACTGGGAAAATAACTTCAAATTAAATTGTACAATCCTAATAACACATAACTATCAATCAACTTTCCAAACTGAATATGGCAAGCTAAGAGTCACACTTACCATTTCATACTACGAATTACATAACATAAGTCAACTTATAAATTCAAGCTTACAAAAGTAAAAGGTAAAGTCATCTTAATAAAATTTACAAGTTCAAGCAAAACAAAGCTAAGAAAGCTCTTGACCGTTAGTCCATCCCCGATCTGTTAAGGAAAACAAAGGGAGTGGGGTGAGCTAAAGCTCAGTGAGGTTCCAAGTAAAACAAATAAACACACAGCCAGTTTAAGGCATAGAATAATCAAGTAAATACCGTATGATACAATAACAATTAATCACAATTCAATTCAAGGATACGGGTGGCTTTCAAGAGCCAAAATCCCCTTGAGCTTGATCATAAATGTCTCCGTTGACACTCCGTCAACACTTGTATACACAGAATATTAAGTCCGTAGAACACCACTTTTACCTGCCTCCGTCCACCAATCAACCCCCCACCGGGCCCGCACTTCATAAACAGTAGTTAGGTAATACTCGAGTATACCGGTTTCAGTGTATAGTAAACAGTCCTCAAGGTTTATCGGCCTTCTCGACCAAGCCCTTGCTGGCTCGATAGAACCGACTCACCTATGAGGTTGGGTACCCAAACAGTAGTAGTAGTTGATGGGATATCACCCAAACAACTCAAGAACAATCACATATAGAGGATTCACATTTCACAATAGCAGTATACAGAGCCTCAATGGAAAGTAAGGGAGGACGAGTGCGATAAAGTACACACTCGCCTCCAATTTTATCAAATCAGGGTTTGGCTCAAACAGTCGTAAATCAAGTATTCAAATATTTTACATAAGCAGGTAGCAGGTAGTGGAACACTCACCTGTCAATCAAAAGAAGCAATCGATGTCAAACGTCTTAGTTACGGTCACCTTCGTTTCCCAAACCTAGGGCAACGAGCGAAATCGTTAACAATTAGATTCATTCCCCACTAGGTTAGGCTTAATAAGAGACCAAGTGAGTAGTCTAAGCTACTTAATCCGTCATGCAAACAAGGTCCAAACCATGGTAAAAGTTCATGAGCAAACAGGTTTAGTAGGTGCATGAAAGTTTGGCAAAAGAAAAGTTCCAATTATGCTTAAGGATTTCTTCTCGGGTTGCACAGTCATGCCCTGGCAGTCTTAGGAAAACGGTCATAACTCACTGTAGGAAAGTCAAAATTAGGTACCGTCAGTGGCGTTGGAAACTAGACTCGAAGGGCTTTACAACGGTACCAAGATCACACTGTGGTTCGTCTCCTATCAACAACAGTAATTCAGACAAGGTGGCTGTTTTTCCAACCCTGGATCAATATTAATCCTATACCAAACTACTCTAGTTCTAGGGCTAACTTCATTAGTTTTGATTCAAATTCACCCAATTCACTCCTCAAGTGATCATATATAAGGATTCAAGTCACTTAGAATCAATGGAGTTTACAATATAACATACAACATGATTTAAGGTAGCCATAATGATCCCATAACTACAAGAATCCTAAAACAGTCTACTAATGGTTCAAAATCACCACTTTACTTGCTTCAACTCCATTCCAACTTGCTCATAGGCTTAACCAATAGTTAACCTAGTTTATTAGGCTTGATGAGGACAAAATTTAACAGGAAAATTGAGGGAAAATCCCTCCTACAAGAACCGGCCAGCCTAGACAAAGCAACCAGCCCACACTTTTCAACATTTGTTCAATCTTCATCCTTACATGTTTTCTACTCAATCATCATATCAAGTGGTAGTTCTAGCCCAAAAGAGGTTTAAAACATAATAATACCTCATAAACAAACATGAATAAGAATCAAACATTTCATCAAACACTTGGTATACATACTAAGAAACCTAGCTACTACTTGTTTACTTCAAGAAACTAACTCAACATCTCAACCAAACAACTTATATCTTTGCTATTAACAATTCAAGTGCATGTTCTATCATCAAAAACCAAGATTTAAAGAACATGTACCTCTCTTGTGGTGAGCTTGAACCACCAAAATCAATCCACCAAAATAAGTCTCCAAGTTTGAATAAAGCACTTAAAGTTAGAGAAACTCTCTTACTAACTCAAATCTTTCTCTTTTGATTGTTGTTCTTGATTTGCTATGGTAAGAAAACAAGATTATGTAGCTCACTCTCTCTCTCTCTTGAAGCCAGAAATTCGGCCAACACTAAGAGAAAAAAAAGGCTTTAGCTAGTTTAAATAATCTTCTAATCTTGGTTCCAACAAGATACTTGGCTAGGATTTTGCCACATGTCCACTTACTTGTCCAATTCCTTCTTAATCTTTGACTAACACCTCTAACTGGTGTCTTAATCTTTCCAAATGCACCAATCATTCTTTAACACCTCTAACTAATCTTTCCAAATGCACCAATAATATTTTAACACCTCTAACTAACCTTTCCAAGTGCACCAATCATATTTTAGCACCTATAATCCTACATGTAAGATTTCTACCACTAATATAAAGACACTTGGTAAAATGTAAGTGGTGTATAATTAAAATCAATTCAAGAAAAATGTTTTTTTTTCTTCAAGTAAAAAGGAATGAAATGTAATGATGAAAATTATTGTAACACCTAGAAAAGCAAATGTAATGGCATATAATATATGATTTAAATCCTAGAATAAGGCAATTAATTTGAGGAATTTGTACTTTGAAAATGAGGGTTCTCACACTCTCTCCCCCTTAAAGAATTTCATCCTCGAAATTCTCACCTTTATCATTGAATAGCTTAGGGTATTTGGCGCGAATGTCCTCTTCCACTTCCCAAGTAGCTTCCTCCACCTCATGGTTTCTCCACAAGACCTTTACCAAGGGTATTTGCTTAGTCCTCAATTCCCTCACTTTTCGATCTAAGATTTGCACTGGTCTTTCCTCGTAGGTCAAAGATTCATCAATGTCAATTTCCTCTGGCTTCAGTATATGCGTGGGATCTGGATAATACTTTTTCAACATGGACACGTGAAATACATCATGAACCCTGGATAGACTTGTTGGTAACTCCAATCGATATGCCACGTTTCCAACTCGTTGAAGGATTTTGAAGGGTCCTACGTATCTTGGATGAAGCTTCTTTCCTTTTCCTACCGTGAGACTTCGAAGTGGCGTAACCTTCAAGAATACCTTGTCCCCAACCTCAAACTCCAAGTCCTTTCGTCGATTATCAGCGTAACTCTTTTGTCGACTTTGCGTTGTCTGAAGCCTCTGACGTATCACTTTCACTTTCTCATACGCATCCTCGATCCATGGTACTGCAACTGGGTCTAAAACTCTTCTCTCTCCTACTTCATCCCAAAATATTGGTGATTGGCACTTTCTTCCATAGAGAGCTTCATACGGTGCCATTTGTATTGAAGAATGGTAACTATTATTGTATGCAAATTCAACCAGAGCCATGTATTGTCCCCAACTTCCACCAAAATCTAGAATACAGGTCCTCAACATGTCTTCAAGTGTCTGAATGGTTATCTCCGATTGTCCATCAGTTTGGGGATGATAGGTAGTACTAAAATTCAGCTTGGTCCCTAAGGTTCCTTGTAATTGTTGCCAAAAACGAGACACAAATCGTGGGTCTCTATCAGACACAATGCTCACAGGGATTCCATGTAACCTCACAATCTCATCCATGTATAATTGGGCCAATTTCTCCATAGAATATTTCATATTTACGGGTAAGAAATGAGCAGACTTGGTCAACCTGTCTACTATTACCCAAACGGCGTCGTGACCTTTCTGGGTACGGGGTAACCCTGATACGAAATCTATAGTAATATGTTCCCATTTCCACTCAGGGATTTCCAGAGGTTGCAGAAGACCTGAGGGCTTTTGATGCTCAGCTTTCACTTGTTGGCACACCAAACATTTTTGGACAAACTGAGCAATTTCCTTCTTCATCTTATCCCACCAATACAACCTTTTCAAATCTTGGTACATTTTATTACTCCCAGGATGTACTGTATACTTGGACCGATGCGCCTCTTCCAAAATCTCCCTTTTTATCACTTCATCTTGTGGTACCACTATTCGATCTCAAAATTTCAAGATACCTTCGGAACTCACGGTAAAGTCTTGTAACTCTCCTTTTTGCACTTTTTCTGTCCACTTTTGCACCATCCGGTCATTCCTCTGAGCCTCTTTAATTTGGTCCAACAAATCAGATCTTACTATAATATTGCAGAAAATTACACTCTGTCGGTCTAATTGCGGGTTCCATTCACTCACTTCTTCCAACAAATTCCATTCCTTAACCATCAATCCGGCTATTTGCACTTGTCGGCTTAAAGCATCCGCTACTACATTAGCCTTGCCTGGGTGATAATGAATGGTACAGTCATAATCTTCAAGAAATTCCACCCACCGACGCTGTCTCAAGTTTAACTCCTTCTGAGAGAATAGGTATTTCAAACCTTATGGTCGGTATACACCTCAAAAGTCACTCCATATAAGTAATGCCTCCACTTCTTTAATGCAAAAACTACAGCGGCCAGTTCTAAGTCATGAGTGGGGTAATTTCGCTCGTGGGGTTTTAACTTCCTAGAGGCATAGGCAATTACACTCCCATTTTGCATTAGAACACATCCCAAACCTTCCCTTGAGGCATCCGTATATACAGTAAAACTATCTCTCCCATTTGGTATAGCTAAAACAGGTGCTGACGTTAACCGTTTCTTCAATTCCCGAAAACTAGATTCACACTTAGAATTCCAGACAAATTGACCATGCTTTTTGGTCAGGTCGGTTAAAGGACCGGCTAACTTGGAGAAATCTTTGATAAACCGACGGTAATACCCGGCTAAACCTAGAAAACTACGGACCTCAGTCGGGGTTTCCGGGTGTTTCCACTCAGCTACAGCCTCCACTTTTACTGGATCCACAAAAATTCCATCTTTAGATATTATATGCCCTAGAAAAGAAATTTGCTCCAACCAAAACTCGCATTTGCTAAACTTGGCATATAACTGATGTTCCCTTAAGGTCTGTAAAACAATCCTTAAATGCCGTTCGTGTTCCTCTCGAGTCTTGGAATACACCAAAATATCATCGATAAATACTACAACAAATTGATCCAAGTAGGGTTTAAAGACTCGATGCATTAAATCCATAAATGCAGCAGGGGCATTCGTTAAACCAAAAGGCATCACAGCGAACTCAAAATGACCATATCTGGAATTAAAGGCAGTCTTCGGTATATCCTCTTGCCTAATTCGTAACTGGTAGTAGCCTTGCCTCAAGTCCAACTTAGAGAAAACTACTGCCCCTTGTAGTTGGTCAAACAATTCATCAATGTGTGGTAAGGGATATTTATTTTTCACCGTAACATCATTTAGGCCACGATAGTCAATGCACAGTCTTAAACTACCATCCTTTTTCTTAACAAATAACACTGGCGCCCCTCACGGTGACTCACTTTCTCGAATAAACCCTCGTTCTAACAGATCTTGTAACTGCAGTTTCAACTCTTTAAGTTCGGTGGGGGCCATTCGATACGGCCTTTTTGCAATGGGAGCAGTTCCAGGTACTAAACCGATCTTAAATTCTATTTCCCTTTCTGATGGCATCAATTTCAACTCATCGGGAAAGATATCAGGAAATTCATTCACTACTACAACATCCTCCAGTTTCACTTTATCTCCAGGAGTATTAATTAAGAAGGCTAAGTAGCCTTGCGCCCCCTTACTTAACAACTTTCTGGCTCGGATTCCCGAAACAAGTGCAGACGAGGCTAACCTACCTCTCACGTCCAACCATTAAGTTGCCTCTCCGGGTATTGAGAATTCTACCACCTTTGTTTTACAGTTCAATTGGGCGTTATAACGGGCCAGCGAATCCATGCCTATAATTACATCGTACCCCTTAAGGTCTAAACTTATCAAGTCACCCACTAACTTCCGTTCTCCTACCCAAATCTCACAATTTTTATAGACCATATTGGTAATTAGGCTTTGATTCCCAGTAGGTGTTTTCACTTCTAAATCATACGGCAACTTAACAGGATTCACAACAATACCACACATAAAGGCAGGATTCACAAAAGAATGGGTTGCCCCAGGGTCAATCAAAAGTTTAGCTAAGCGGTGGAATATAGGGATCGTACCTTTCACTACTTCCGAGGAATCCGGAACTCGCCGGTGGTCCAAAGCAAAAACCCTAGCAGAGGTTTTGGGTCGACTAGCACTGGCTGTAGGTTGCTTAGGGTTTGACTTTTCCGACTGGGTGCCCCCGTTCCCGTCACGATTCTTAACAGGGCAAGTGGCAATCTGGTGTTCAGAACTTCCACAAACAAGGCACTTTTTCAACTTTTTCCGGCAATTGTCTTCGGTATGATTTGGCTTACCACAATATCCACAGCTTACACGTGTGGTGGGTGCGGGAACTCCTAGGGAGACAGTTTTATGTTGTCCCTGTCCCCTTCCACCTTGAGCTCCTCTAGATGAAGCTCCACCTCTTGGTGTCCCCGCAATTCGGGCTCCACTCGTACCCTTTCCAAACTTCGGAGGTGGCACATTCTGATCACTTCGGCCATGAGTACTGGTAGATGCACCACGCTTCTTAGCCTGAAAGGTCCGAACTTGAGATCAGGCCTGCTCCACACGTTGAGCCTTTTCAAGCACATCTTTAAAGGTGTCAATTTGAGCGGCAGCCAAATCCTTTTGGATTTCTACATTCAAACCTTGTATAAACCGCCTTATACGCTTTTGCTCACTTACCACCAATTCTGGGGCAAACTTGGAAAGTCGGGTGAACTGCGTTTCATACTCTGCCACACTTGAAGTGCCTTGGCGCAGTTTAATGAACTCATCCTCTCTTTTCTCCTGAATTAAGGGTGGAAGGAATTTCTCATTGAATTCTCTCGTGAAGTTTAACCAGGTACGTGGGGTTTGCTCCCTTTCCCACTTGGCCCTTACTACGTTCCACCAGGAACGGGCCGCGCCTTCTAGCTGGAAAACGGCAAAGGTAACTTGCCTCTCTTCAGAGTAATGCAATGCGGCGAATATATCCTCCATTCGCTCGAACCAATTCTCGGCAACTTCAGGTTCAGGTCCTCCAAGAAATTTTGGAGGAGCAAACTTTTGAAACCGCTCCAGGGCCCTATCCTCGCCTACTTCGGGGTCCCTTTGTTGGTTACCAGGTACTTGACCCTGCTGGTCAACCAAGCGGGCCAACAAATCAGTCATTCGATTAATAGCTGTTGCTACTTGGTCCCCTCCATCATCTCGGGGTCCCTGGTTTTGATTTGCCACCGAACCTTGTTCCTCCCCTTGATCCTGGACTTGCCTGGGTTCTCGTCCACGGCCCCGAGTACGCCTTTGTCTAGTCTCCATTATTACTCAGTGGCCTAGTGCCCAAGTACGATAACTAACCGGGTAAGCAATATGATATATGATAGATGCTCATATGAAAAGTCAAGTAAGAAATGAAAATCGAAAATACGACAAGCAAGTGAAATGCATTGTAGTTAAAATTAATGATGGAATAAAGTCAAAGGTCAAAAGTCAATAGTCAACAGTCAATAGTCAAAGATCAAGATCAACAGTCAAGGTATTATACATTAAAAGACTCATAGCAGTCATTTACAAGCTAACGAAACCAAAATAGCAAGTACGAGTCCCAAAAGTACAGATATAGTCATATCAAGCAAAACCTAACACGAGTAGTCAAAAGGAGCTATACAACCACCAGGTCACCACATCCCCTAACCTGTCTATGTACAATGTCAAAATCATCCACTATCCTAGCCTAATGGTGAAGACCTAGTCAACGGCGGGACTAGCTGACCCCCCAGCCTCAGTAGGTTCATCTCCTGAACCAATATCCATATAAGAAGCCTCATCGCTTGCTTCTCCTAGAAGGTCGTCACAGACATTCAGGATGGACTCCGCCCTAGTCCTCACCTTCATTGTCCTAGTTACCATGCGTTCCTGAGTTTCCTCCAACTGTGCGCAAAGGTCATCAATCCTCTCTTGGCCCTCAACATTATCATACTCGAGCTCTTTAATCTGCTCGGCTTGCATCTTATTGGCTTCCTTTAGTTGCTTCACTTCGGCTTCAAGCCTAGCATTATCCCTGGCAAGCTCCTTACGCTCTTTTATCACCGCCAATACCACTTCATTAGGGTAGCCATAAATATGACGGCACTCGCAACGCCTATAGCGGTTTGACGGGCTCCAATAAACTCTAGATCCTCCAGGCCGGATTTGATACTTAATCACGGGAAGGGCTCCTTGGGGCTTTTCACCAACAGGACTATTACTATGGCCACTAGGTCCGTCCATCCTACATAAAAGTGTAGATAAACTTTAGTACTTTTAAGGGAATTAATAAAATAGAATCCTTAAGTCGGAAATTTCTAATTCGCCCAGGCTAATTCAAACCTAGGCTCTGATACCAACTGTGACAACCCCACCTCTCCCTAGGGCGAACCCTAGGGTATCAGCGGACTGCCTGCCCAACTCTCGCCGGGACTCAGTCGATCAAAGAACTAGCAACTCAAAATAACTGGGAAAATAACTTCAAATTAAATTGTACAATCCTAATAACACATAACTATCAATCAACTTTCCAAACTGAATATGGCAAGCTAAGAGTCACACTTACCATTTCATACTACGAATTACATAACATAAGTCAACTTATAAATTCAAGCTTACAAAAGTAAAAGGTAAAGTCATCTTAATAAAATTTACAAGTTCAAGCAAAACAAAGCTAAGAAAGCTCTTGACAGTTAGTCCATCCCCGATCTGTTAAGGAAAACAAAGGGAGTGGGGTGAGCTAAAGCTCAGTGAGGTTCCAAGTAAAACAAGTAAACACACAGCCAGTTTAAGGCATAGAATAATCAAGTAAATACCGTATGATACAATAACAATTTATCACAATTCAATTCAAGGATACGGGTGGCTTTCAAGAGCCAAAATCCCCTTGAGCTTGATCATAAATGTCTCCGTTGACACTCCGTCAACACTTGTATACACAGAATATTAAGTCCGTAGAACACCACTTTCACCTGCCTCCGTCCACCAATCAATCCCCCACCGGGCCCGCACTTCATAAACAGTAGTTAGGTAATACTCGAGTATACCGGTTTCAGTGTATAGTAAACAGTCCTCAAGGTTTATCGGCCTTCTCGACCAAGCCCTTGCTGGCTCGATAGAACCGACTCACCTATGAGGTTGGGTACCCAAACAGTAGTAGTAGTTGATGGGATATCACCCAAACAACTCAAGAACAATCACATATAGAGGATTCACATTTCACAATAGCAGTATACAGAGCCTCAATGGAAAGTAAGGGAGGACGAGTGCGATAAAGTACACACTCGCCTCCAATTTTATCAAATCAGGGTTTGGCTCAAACAGTCGTAAATCAAGTATTCAAATATTTTACATAAGCAGGTAGCAGGTAGTGGAACACTCACCTGTCAATCAAAAGAAGCAATCGATGTCAAACATCTTAGTTACGGTCACCTTCGTTTCCCAAACCTAGGGCAACGAGCGAAATCGTTAACAATTAGATTCATTCCCCACTAGGTTAGGCTTAATAAGAGACCAAGTGAGTAGTCTAAGCTACTTAATCCGTCATGCAAACAAGGTCCAAACCATGGTAAAAGTTCATGAGCAAACAGGTTTAGTAGGTGCATGAAAGTTTGGCAAAAGAAAAGTTCCAATTATGCTTAAGGATTTCTTCTCGGGTTGCACAGTCATGCCCTGGCAGTCTTAGGAAAACGGTCATAACTCACTGTAGGAAAGTCAAAATTAGGTGTCGTCAGTGGCGTTGGAAACTAGACTCGAAGGGCTTTCCAACGGTACCAAGATCACACTGTGGTTCGTCTCCTATCAACAACAGTAATTCAGACAAGGTGGCTGTTTTTCCAACCCTGGATCAATATTAATCCTATACCAAACTACTCTAGTTCTAGGGCTAACTTCATTAGTTTTGATTCAAATTCACCCAATTCACTCCTCAAGTGATCATATATAAGGATTCAAGTCACTTAGAATCAATGGAGTTTACAATATAACATACAACATGATTTAAGGTAGCCATAATGATCCCATAACTACAAGAATCCTAAAACAGTCTACTAATGGTTCAAAATCACCACTTTACTTGCTTCAACTCCATTCCAACTTGCTCATAGGCTTAACCAATAGTTAACCTAGTTTATTAGGCTTGATGAGGACAAAATTTAACAGGAAAATTGAGGGAAAATCCCTCCTACAAGAACCGGCCAGCCTAGACAAAGCAACCAGCCCACACTTTTCAACATTTGTTCAATCTTCATCCTTACATGTTTTCTACTCAATCATCATATCAAGTGGTAGTTCTAGCCCAAAAGAGGTTTAAAACATAATAATACCTCATAAACAAACATGAATAAGAATCAAACATTTCATCAAACACTTGGTATACATACTAAGAAACCTAGCTACTACTTGTTTACTTCAAGAAACTAACTCAACATCTCAACCAAACAACTTATATCTTTGCTATTAACAATTCAAGTGCATGTTCTATCATCAAAAACCAAGATTTAAAGAACATGTACCTCTCTTGTGGTGAGCTTGAACCACCAAAATCAATCCACCAAAATAAGTCTCCAAGTTTGAATAAAGCACTTAAAGTTAGAGAAACTCTCTTACTAACTCTAATCTTTCTCTTTTGATTGTTGTTCTTGATTTGCTATGGTAAGAAAACAAGATTATGTAGCTCACTCTCTCTCTCTCTTGAAGCCAGAAATTCGGCCAACACTAAGAGAAAAAAAAGGCTTTAGCTAGTTTAAATAATCTTCTAATCTTGGTTCCAACAAGATACTTGGCTAGGATTTTGCCACATGTCCACTTACTTGTCCAATTCCTTCTTAATCTTTGACTAACACCTCTAACTGGTGTCTTAACCTTTCCAAATGCACCAATCATTCTTTAACACCTCTAACTAATCTTTCCAAATGCACCAATAATATTTTAACACCTCTAACTAACCTTTCCAAGCGCACCAATCATATTTTAGCACCTATAATCCTACATGTAAGATTTCTACCACTAATATAAAGACACTTGGTAAAATGTAAGTGGTGTATAATTAAAATCAATTCAAGAAAAATGTTTTTTTTTTCTTCAAGTAAAAAGGAATGAAATGTAATGCATGAAAATTATTGTAACACCTAGAAAAGCAAATGTAATGGCATATAATATATGATTTAAATCCTAGAATAAGGCAATTAATTTGAGGAATTTGTACTTTGAAAATGAGGGTTCTCACAGTATGCATGTGATACGAGTGAGTGAGTCCTGACGAGAGTTGGGCAGGCAGTCCGCCGAACCCTTTGGTATGCATTAGGGGGAGGTGTGGTCGTCACAGGTAGCATTACCTCCATATTGAGATTGTTGTACCATTTGAATCAATGATGGTTTAATCTCAAAATTATTAGCATTTACCGTTGACCTTGCGATCCTAGTTTGAGATCCTTGTGTACCCTGTAAAGCAAAATCTCGTAGAATTCGCCTATTTGGTTCATTTTTCGCCATTTCTTGCTCAAATGGTAATTCCATCAAGATTTCTTCTATCGGCTGCCAAACCTCTTATTCCTCTTGATGCGGTGTATTTCTCCTTTGTCTCCGAAGTGTCCTCTCAATTTCTAGATCAAAAAGTGCAACTTTTCGATTTGATCGATGCATACACTACAAATAAAAAACAAGAGAAATTTTTCAGTTTTAATTGTTATAATCAACTATAAACAACTTGAATAAAAACAATTGAAATGTCTAAATTAATAGAGATAATTAGGCTCTAATATTGTCGCTCCCCGGCAACGGCGCCAAAAACTTGACGAAATTTTTATATCAATACAAGTTTAAATCCAATTTTATACCCGTTAAACTGCAAGTATACAGGCCAAAATTGTAATTTAGGGCATGTATCGGGTCGATCCCGCAAGGAGCAAATTAACCAATTACTAGGTCCTTGTTTTCTCTATTATTTAGACTTATGAATAAATTTGAGCAGAGAAAGTATATTGCTATTGTCTACAAATCTGATACTACAAATTTAATTTAACAAATGCTAAATGCAATTGGAGAAATTTTACTCAAGGATGAATTTAGCGATGTAGATTCCACTTATGGCATAAACAACACAAATGAACAGATTTACCTCTTGTTATTATTCTTGTTTAACCAGGGATTCATTTCCAATTTTATCAAGTCTCATTTTCATGATAAAATGGCCTAAAGCAGTCTAGTTTTCCCTATTTTCATGAACATACAACTCAAGTTCTACTCATGTTTTTCCATTGTTACTACCAATTCTCATTGAATAATAACAAATA